TAATCATTTGGTCAAAAACATGAATTGATAACTATTTAAGACGCTGACTTAAATTTTAAACATGAATAGATAGCAATTTATATTGAAATCAATATTTCGTAAAACAAAGAAATAGTCATTCGTTATTACGAATTAATTTTTCGGGAAAACAAATTGTTATTTCGTATAAACGAAATAAAATTTCATAAAAAGGAATTAATATTTCGTAATAACGAAGTAATATTTGTAATAACAAAGTAATATTTTGTAATAAGTGATTATTTCAAATAAGCAAATGATTATTTCGTAAAAACAAATCAATATTTTGTAAAAACAAAAAAAAATAATAGTTCATAATTACGAATTTATATTTTGAAAAAACGAGTTAAGTCCCGGAAAACAGTGTGCCTTAATCAAACCAGGACTACAATTTTCATATAATTGTATTTGCTTAATGCTTCCGAGGATCACTATTTCTCCCGACTTTGTATTTTGATAGAACGCTGTTGCTCTTGTATTTCTATATATGTAATTTACCGGACTATATATTCAAAGGAATCGAGATGTTTTTTTATTAAACTGATCGCTTTTTCGGCACCGCTCCTGTAAAAAAGGTACATCAGGGGTGTACCAGAAGAGGGATGTACCCTCCTCTGCTTGGGGGTTCAAAGGAGGAAGCAGCTGCTTTCATTGCCGAGAAAATATTTGGTCTTGCAAGAGGCTAAAAATGACCTCATGTCGATCTTAAGGTAACGTGTAAGCAAACACTGAAAAGTCTTTGACTCGGTCTCAATCCATTGAGAAAATGCAGCACTTTGAATCTGTCTTAATGAAAAAACATATTGCAAAATAGTGGTTTTCGGCAAATCAAAAACATTGTAATAACTATTGTAAATTCACGTTTAAGTAAATGTACCAACTTCCGAGTGCAAAGATCAACAACACAGGATGACGTTTATTGAGCGCGGCCATCACTTAATCCTAGATCACTTGGCCACAGGCCATGCGGAGGTTGTTTGTACAAAACACTACTAAACATTTACACAAGAGCGATCAGTGATAACATTTGTCGCCTGAAGATAGGCAATGGCATGTTGCAGCTACGGTGTAGCAGGACACATAAATCATCAACAGGCCAAAATGCTACAGTTAAATATATGTTCTGTGTGTACGTGCTTGCGTGCGTGTGTGTGTGAGGGAGAGCGATTCTTATTTGTAAGCATATATAATGTGTATGATAATAAGAAAATTATTTGAAGTCGGAAATAAACACTTAAACGCTATAGAAATAAAACCAAAGTAACAGTTAAACATTGTACGTGGTAAAATGACCGCGCCCCCCCCCCCGAATAAATACACAGGTCATTATTTTATATAGACACAAATGATTATTATATATACTTAAACAGGTGTTATGAATTATCAATGAAATCATATTAAACGGTTATTTGTTTTACATAATCATTCTTCAAGTTAAGCCGTTTATGTTAAAAAAAAGAAAGTAACACACAACTTGTATTTAAACACAAAGTATATAATGTATTTTATGTATGATTATTATCATAGATCACAGTAATTACTCTATACGTTGTATATATTTTATCTATTTCCTTTCATTTTCATAAATATTGAACATTCGTTTAGCAGATGCAATTCTATTTTTTTTCTTGGCAATATTGCCATTTTTTTCCATGTGTACATGTTTTATTTCCATATTTCGAATTACTTAATCATAAAATCTGAGTCTGAGGAATATTACTTCTTTGAATACTTTTTAAAACTAAATAAAATTGTGTACATGTATTGTTATACGTGACATTGAATGCGTTGAAGCATATTTTACAAGTCTATTTGTACGATGGGGTTATCCTACCATTATCAATTGAATACAAAATAAAAGGAATGATGAAGTATCAAACACGCATTTGCGCGCGTGGTTATTGTCGTGACTGATACGTTTAGACGCAGTAGAATCATGTTTTTAACGAGAAACATAACTGTTTATGTGTCAGCCAAATATTTGTTCAATAACAGAATGATAAATTTTGTTCACGGCTGAATTGGCTGTGTTTGACAAACATTTGAAGATTGCAATGACTGATATAGTTTTCTTTTCTAAGTTAAAGGATGAACTTGCCGGCGTCTAATAAACATTTATGATCAGAGCTGCATTACTGGTACTGGTACTGGTACTACAGTACATACTGCAGCGACTTTGCAATTACTGGTACTGATACTGAATTACTCTTACAAAATTTTGTAACTACCGGTACTCGTACTGCATTTCTGCCTTAAAAAGTGGTACTGCTACTGCATTACTAGGCAGTACTTTTGGTTTTGATAAAAATAGCATCAATTTTTCTCATAAAAAAAATTGTAAATTACATTATTTTATTTTTGTGAAGAAGTAAGTTAAATCAAATCTATAGATTATTTGCTGCAATATTCCTTCAAATGTTAACATAGTATTTATCACAAAAAGCACCAAAGACTTTTGGTAAAAATTAGATTGAGATAAACAGACTCAATAACTCTTTTCCCTAAAATACCCTTATTAAAATATTTTATAACTTTGTATATACTAGTAAAAGAGCCATATAATCACTAATTAATTGCTTCTATTCTAAATAATCATATTTCAAGTGATATTGTTTACCATAAAAAGTTGTTATTTACTTTGGCATAAATTGAGCAGAGGTGTGAACGTGTGGAAGGTAACAAAAGACTGTTGTGTTTAAATGAAAGATGATTGCATTGTATTACAGTTGACTGGTTACTTAACAATAAGATATGTCATAAATATATGTTGTAAATATTTTTTGTAAAATGTATGTTAAAACTATAAGTTGTAAAAATGTTATGTTAACTTTAAAGTAAGTTATGACTTTGCTGAATAATATTTGCAATTATTTGTTTGACTCTGTGTACTTATTCAAACTATGATGAATATATAGAAGTAATGGTACTGATACTTAATTACTTCACCAAAAAGTACTGGTATTGCAGTACCGAGCTAAAATCTAGTGCTGGTACCGGTAATGGTACTGCATAACTTGCCAAGTACTGGTACTGGTACTTAAGTACTACACCGTTAGTACTGATGATTATGACTAATGACTTATTTCGTTGTATATGATTGGTATATATTTTGTAACAATGAACATTTCGATTAATCACAAGATATTCACTTTAAATATAACGGAAGTAAACGAAACCGGGGGCAGAAATGTGAAAGATTATATATCATGTTTTCTCTTTTTCTTAAAAAAGACTTTTAACTGCACAAAAATATCTATACCTATTTTCAATGTTTCGCGTTTCATCACAGTTTAGGGTAGCGCTGTTCTCGTGGTTAGGGTGTCTGCCTCTCAATTCCTTGTCGAATTTCTACCAGCGGTTTGATCTGTGAAGCCAGGCAAGCATACATAATTGTTATATTTGTAATCATTGTATGTAACAAGATACTGTAAATGTATAAATTACCTAAAATACTATTTCTTCTCGCTTTCATATGACCGACGGACGACAAAAAATAGGTCTCCAAAAGACTTTTGGGGAAACATAATTCTTGAATTGTTGTCAACGTACAATAATTGTGACGAAACTAGAATTATTCCTGGCTGCGTTAGATATGTCGTTGCTCGTTTTTAAAGAAGCACATATTTCTTTTGACTTTTTAAAAACAAAATTACATCAAAACTATTTTAACACAAAGCTTTGATAATGTAAATCTGAGATTTAAATCCAAAAATATATCCATAAAGGGAAAGGGTTATGTTTACGTTTAGGAATATTGATATTACAATCAATACACTATTTTACTTTCTTAGATAATTTTGAGCATAATAAATAAAAGTAAATGTTGAAATCATCCAATTTGCAATGAGTAGGTAACGATGAACATCATATGATATTTGATGTTTTTGTATGTACTAGTCAAAAATAGAATTATGTTCTGTTCTGTTCGTAGCCCTCGCGGAGAATAATTATGTTTATAGTACTTTGTCATACATAATAGGATAATACATTGGTCAAAATGTATAAAAAATGATTTTCAATACTGTTTGATAATGAATACTTAAATAAGGCAATGTAACAATTACCAAGGGCCCTGTTTACTTAAGTATTTTCGTTTTGGCCTGATTTGGAATATTTCCCCGTTCCTGAACAGATTTGGATTTATGGCACCGCATTGATTAAGATAATATTGATTATTAGCTTGAGAAGGTTAGAAAATATATAATATAAACACATTTATATCTGTTAATCCTCGAATATTCTACTTGCAAGGAACATTGCAATGTTTAAGGAATTCATATACAATTTTATAAGGCTTGTTAACAAATGAAATAACTACGCAAGAATCTTAAAACCCAAATCAGTTCATGAACGGGGTAATATTCCAAATCAGCCCGAAACGATTAGACACCGTGTAAGTGTGCTGTGCATTCCATTCTTTGAAAGCTTATTTTAAAAAAACACATGATATGTTCTTTATATTGTTGATGTCTTACAATGCTTATGATTCAAACATATTCGCTTTTACGTCTTTCTATTAATTCATTATAAACATACTGATATTGCAATGTTTATCCATCCCATCAAACGTTGTTTTTTGTCTAGATTCTAATACAATAAATAATTCAGATGACTGATGACAATTCTGAGGTGACCATGTTTAATAACACCTGACCATTTTCATTGGGGGAAATTAATATATTTCATACAGTATTCATCTACAAACTCATTTATAATATTACAACTGTGTACAGTTAAGTGAAGTTGTCCGCCCATATTTAAATTACCTATCATGAACACATTTTTCAATCATTTTAATTTTAGAATTTCTACTTAAAAATATTTAAACTGGGTAAATATCATTTATGCTCCTATTTTTGCATATTTTGGTATAAACAGTTACACAGTGGCACAGAAACCAAACATGCTTACCCTTTAAATAGTTTTCAAAATAAATCAGTCTGAGTCATCGGAGCAATTGAATGAATATATATCAGTTTTTAGTTCTCCTTCGCCAGTTTCAAACGCAGAGGCAAGCCCTAAATCCAGTGACCGATCAATGCCCGAACAAAGTCCGTCTCCAACGTCAACAACAAAATCTTCATTGGAGGAGAATGATGACGTCAAATGTGCTAGTATGTTTGTATAATTATTCCTTTAAAGACATTGTTATTTTCGTTAGATATGCTCTACAATGCATATGTGTCAATTGAAATCGCCTAATTTCTTTCTCGGGTAGTTAGCTTAACAGTTGAACAAATAAATTTTCATAGATAAAAAAGAAAAACATAAATTTGAGATAGATGCAAACCAAGTGGTCTTAAGATTATTTGACATACATGTCTTATATAAGCTTCACATGATTACATGTATTATTTCTTAGCATGAAGAGTAAATAATGGGTCGATAGTGTTCTATATTTCGACGATTTAACAGTAAAAATGTTTTCAATTTTCCAGTTTCTCCAGAACAAACCTCGTCCCGTGTGAGTCCTGATAGGCATGCAACACTTAAAACACCACGCCATGATCTAGACGGCTTCTTTCCAAAGTACATGCCCAGTAATACTCTGTTCAACATATCTAATTTAGGAATGTATTCCGAGAGCAATTCCAATAATCGAGCAGACGTATCACGTTCCCACATTGACGTCACATACGAAACTGCGGCGAAGATACTCTTCATGTCAATAAAATGGGCGCGCAATATCCCGTCATTCCTCGCACTTCCATTCCGGGATCAAGCCATTTTATTGGAGGAATCGTGGTGTGAGCTATTTATCCTAAGTGCTGCGCAGTGGTCCATGTCGCTAGATACAAGTAAGGATTTGAACGAAGATGTTCTAAAATTGTTCTAACGTTATTTCATTAAGCTGAAATTATTATTTAGTTACCCGTATTTAAACAATTCAATTGTTCAATTATTGACCCTAGCTGTAAAGGCACTTTTAATGCTTAAAAGGCTTAAAATCATATCCTATGAAATATATTCATAAAATCTAATATTGTGTTTTTCATAACCTTATGGTCGATACTAGAAATAGTTAAAATGTAGAATGTTTCTTTTTATTAACAAACATGAATACTGAACGTAAACATAATAAATGAGCCGCGTCACTACAAAACCAACGAAGTGCGTTTGCGACCAGCATGGATCAAGACCAGCCTGCGCATCCGCGCAGTCTGATCAAGATCCATGCTGTTCGCTAACCAACCCTATTACAAGTATAGAAACTGATAGTGAACAGCGTGGATCCTGATCAGACTGCGCGTATGCGTAAGCTGGTCGCAAACACACTACGTTGGTTTTGCCGTGACGCGGCTCAAATCATTTTGTTTAAGTTTTAAATGGGGTTCAATTACTGCTTAGCAAAGATTGTGTGCATTCGCCATTCTTTATAAGAAAACTACCAACATAGTTGTTTTAAACGGACATTTTTGAGTCATTCATTTTCTAAACTAAAACATTTTTTTTGAAATGTAGACTTAAACGATTAAGATATGAAACACAGTCAAACCTGTATGAATAACTGCGAATAAAGTTCACCTTGTTAATAAAGACTAATCTTCAACATACCTTCGTTCTTATTCTGATGGCCTATGTTCACAGGTTTGACTGTACAGGCACATTTCAGTCCAATATCGGTAATATTTGACTGCTCAAAATATAGACTCGTGGTATTTCTTTATATCAGCGCTTTTTAACTTGGAATTTCAGTTTAATGTTACCGATTTAGCTGTAAGTTGCTTATAAATTATATGATAAATGATAATGTACATCTATAATTTAGGTTCTTTGATGTCTGCTATTGGGGTTTCAACAACGGACCAATCAGAACGCGCGACAGTGCTGTATTCTCAGATACGAATGTTGCAAGAAATCATTCTGAGATTTGCCGCCATGCGTATTGACTCAACTGAATATGCTTGTCTAAAAGCACTTGTCCTCTTCAAATCAGGTTTGTACAGTATATTTTTGTTGTTGATGCTGTTGTTTGCTAGTATGTTCATGTTAACAGTCACAAGTCGTTTTAATTATTATAAGACTTTATATGAATATTTATTTAATGTTTTATAAAGTCTATGGTATTATTTAGTTAAAACAAAATTTATTGTATTTCTTTTGTGAAAGACGCTTTTAGCTAAAGAATATAGTTACGAATAGGGTTCTCACAGTTAGAAAAAATTCTAACCGTTTGAATAGCGACCTGAAAACCGTGTTAAACGTTTAACCGACAGTACCAATAAAATCCTTAGATTTTCAACCTTAGCTTTGTTTCTTTATGACAAGATATGGGATTTTATTTGCATTAGTGTACTCAAAATGATTACATATCCGAATATGGTGTAACATTTTTTCCGTTAGGGTTGTACCGTACTCGATAAGATCTGAAAAATACATTGTTTAACAAAGTGTCATATCTTATGATAAAAATATCTCAGGTAATATATTAAATCAATTAAAAAAATCGGTTCTTTGTCAAATACTAAACGTTTATTAAATTTTCTACCCGTTTTATTTGCAAAAAACCGAACGTACCCGTTTAAACGGATAAATGCGACACCCCTACTTTCGAGCATTGTATTGAACATTTGCGTCAAGCTTTCCCCGGAGTACTAGTTCGACGCGTTAACCACGCGGCAATGGCGCCAAATCGTAGTTAATTTGTGATAAGAATGATAAAATGTATATTTGTATTATATCTGTGTTAAGTACATTTTATATTCTCTATACAGAAATCAAAGGGTTGCGTGACTACCTTCAGGTGGAGCTTCTACAGGATCAAGCCCAGATTATGCTAACTGAATACTGTTTCTCCAACCATCCAGCTAACAAGCTCAGGTTTGGAAAGCTCCTGCTACAATTGTCTAGTTTGAAGGCAGTTGGTCCGAGGTCAATAGAAGAGGTGTTCTTTCGACGAACCATTGGGAATATTCCGATCGAGCGTCTTCTTTGTGACATGTTTAAATCAAGTTAAAACGATTGCTAAGCGCTTCCAGGTTACACAAGTCTGTCAAATTAACTATTAACCTGCGGGCGGCATCTGATTCTCCTAGTGACTAGTGCTGACCAAGGTCATGGTCGGTACTGCTCGCTATTGAGTCTGTAAACATCCTGGAAAATTTCCCTAAAATGATGAATGGTTTTGTCCAGACTGAAAGTTGGACAAGTTCATTTAAGATATTTGGTGCGATTATGGTTCAAGAATAAAGTCCCTTATAATGATCACCAAACGCTAAATTGAAATATACAGGTAACAAAATAAAAGGGAATCTGAACAATATTCAATCAACTTGTAATTTTTTAAATGAATTTTTTCCATCTTCTATTTTTAGCACTGTCAGTTATCAATATTAGGGATATCGAAATGGAAATTTGAAGGGTTATTATATTTTGTTTCCTCAATGCGCAAGCTTTGCAGAGTAATGCCGTTGCCAACAAGAAAACGAAAGAGCATTACAATATAATTGTTTATCTTATTTGTACAAAGGGACATTACTCCGGGAAACTCTTTCTCATATCAAACGTTAATATTGTTAATGCATGTTGTACGTACAAACTTCAATAAAACAATTATAAAGAACAACTTGCAGCACATTTGTGTCAGTATATTTTTTCTCTCTTTGGCTCTTGTTATTTTTGTAAATAAAAGAGGCGTATAATAACGCAAACTTCAGTAATACCAAATACTTTAAAGTGGATTTGTCTTACAATAGGAACATTTTCCAACAGTACATCAAGTATTTATAAAAGAATAGAAATTGATCGTTTTTGATATTCTTATAACATATTTCTTAAAACAAACGTTGATAGGAAGATCCTAATGATAGAGTATGGACATTTATATGATGAATTATAATCATAAATTTTTTCTTACGACAGCTTAGCTTAATTAATACTATCAATACAATTATATATTATATCATAGACCTTCAATTATGAACCAATACACTTTAAAGAATAGTTACGTTCTTCAAAATGACAATGGCTTGGTATCATTCTGTGTTATTGCTATGTCCTATGTTTTTAATAGGCCAATGAAAGATTCGAGAGAAAGTTATTATCTTCTTTATTCTATTTTGCTTCGAAGAATCTGTTAACTTTATTATTTCTGTTAGTTTATTTTTGTTTGTTTGTATTGTTAAAAATAAAATAAAATATGATAAAATTTTCAGTAATGTCCACTTGTTTTTTGTTTACATATGTATACTTCCATCCCGGTAAGTTCAATTTATAGTTTTAAGCTCCACTTTTCAAAGACAAAAATTGGAGCTATTGTCATGACCCTCTCCTCTGCATTTCTTAACCTTTATTGTGTTATTCTTTACATATAAACATGATTATATTAAGCTCCATGATTATTTACATTAGTTTTTATTTGTTTGGTCGTCAGACCAAACAAATAATGGTAGCGAAATTTCAGAGCATAATGCTGTTAATTGCAAGTGCCTAAAGTAGTCCACTTTTTTGAAGCGGTTACTTACCTTTCTATGTACACTAACGCCGAAAAAGGGAGATCAATGCGTAAAGATTGTCAAATGACAGGCACATTCATTTTCAAGCAAAGGAGTTCCCGAATGGTCGAAGATTTCTAATATTGTTTCATTCTTTATAGATATACATGCTTAAAGTAAGCTCCATGATTATTTACATCTGTGTTAAACAACAGGTTTAGCGTCGAAATAATAAGTTACAAACCCTTATTTAGAATAATATGGTTTTCTTCAGGCCATTAATATATAACTTCACCGTGACCGAGGGGTTAGCACGCTCGCTTCTGCATCGAGAGGTCTGGAGTTCAAGTCCCAGTTAAGGCAACTCATTTTTGTTTTCATTTTTTAAGTCAAATAAACATTGAATTGACTTTCAGTGTTGCAATAAGTCTAATAGCCAATTTACTACAGTTAAAACACTGGAAAGCATTGGTGTCACTATACCAAAACAAATCGGTTTATAATCTCACAACCTTCACCTTTCTGACATTCTGAAACCAAAACAAATTCAGCGCCTTCTGTGCTTTGATTATAAATAGGTTTACCGTGAAATTAATAAGGGTAAGAGCAATATGGTTTTCTTCAGGCTGCTATCTTAAAACTTCACCGTAGTCGAGGGGTTAGACGCTCGCTCGGTTAGTACGTGAGAGGTCTGGAGTTCAAATTCCACTTAAGGCATTTTTAAAAAATTTGTTTGAGCCAAATAAACATTGAATTAAATATCGGTGTTGCAATTAGCCTTATAGCCAATTTACTACAGTTATAACACTGGAGACAGCATTGGTGGCACTATACAAAAACAAATTGGTTTATAATCCTTTCTGAGACCCCAACAAATTCAGCGCCTTCTGTGCTTTGATTAATATTTGTTGTATTAAGGGTCTTTCATAGTGCGGCCAGCTTTTTTGGTTCTTATAACTAGGTACTTTTACAAAGCGACCATGATGTTTGCCATGTTTTTTTTTATTTATTTCAAAACACTTTTCATAGTGCTGCCAACTTTTTTAGTTCTGATTTCTATGCGGCCAGCTTGTTTTGGTTGCTATACTAAGGTATACTCATAATGCGACCAGCTTGTTTTTTTAGTTCTGATTTCTAGGTACTTTTATCATGCGGCCAGTTTTTTAGTTCTGATTTCTAGGGTTTTTTTCATGCGACCAGCTTGTTTTGGTTGCTGTACTAAGGTATTGTCATAATGCGACCAGCTTGTTTTGGTTCTGATTTCTAGATACTTTTTTCATGCGGCCAACTTTTCTTAGTTCTGATTTCAAGGTACTTTTATCACGCGGCCACCTTGTTTTTTGTTGCCGTACTAAGGTATTTTCATAATGCAACCAGCTTGTTTTGGTTCTGACTTCTAGGTACTTTTATCATGCGACCAGCTGTTTTTTTTATTCTGATTTCTTGGTACTTTTATCATGCGTTTAGCTTGTTTTGATTTTGATTTCTAGGTACTTTTATCATGAGGCCAGTTTGTTTTGGTTCTGATTTCTAGGTGCTTTTCTCATGCGACCAGCTGTTTTTGGTTCTGATTTCTAGGTACTTTTATAATGCGACCAGCTTGTTTTGGTTATGATTTCTTGGTACTTATATCATGCGACTAGCTTTTTTTTGTTGCTATACTAAGGTCTTTTTAGAATGCGGCCGGCTTGTTTTGGTTCATATATTTTGAAACTTTTATAATATCGTCATGTTGTTTGTTTTGGTTGTTTAACTGAGTTTTTTTACAATGCGACAAGCTTGTTTTGCTTCTGATTTCTAGGTGCTTTTACAATGCGGCCTTGATAATTGTTTTGGTTGTTATATTTTGGGTTTTTCATAATATGGCAAGCTTGTTTTGGTTCATATATTTTGGTACTTTTATAATGTGGCCATGTTTTTCCTTTCGGTTGTTATACATAGGTTTTTTTTACATAATGCGACTAGCTTGTTTTTGTTTTGATGTCTGGGAATTCCTATGACGCCGCCATATTGTTTACATGGTTGTTATATTTTTATGATCATTTATAAAGTGGTCAGGTCAGATTGTTTTTGTTATTTATTCAGCAGGTTATTTCATATATTTAAGTACTTTAGAATTCGACTTTCTTGTTTGGTTTGGATGCAATATTTCATAAAAGTTCTTTCATAACGGAGCCATCCTTTTGTTACCTTATATCTATATACCTTTATAATGCGGCCACCATGTTTTCATTGTCATTATATCCAATGTATCTATAATGCAGGCAATTAGAAGCGTTATAAAGTACCTTCATAAAACGGCCACTATTTATTTTATTTATTAAAATACGTTCAAAATGCAACCACTTGTTTATTCTAGACAACTTAATCATTTTTTTTCTTTCCTTGCTCTGGTCTATATATCGTACCTTCATAATAAAGCCTTCAAAAGTAACAGTTTTTATTCACCATTCTGCATAATTTAAAAAACAACCAACGTCTTCAGATAATTGAGTCACTTGAAGAGTTCAACCTTGTGTATACTGTACTTCCTGTACTAACCAGTACTGGTGTCACATTATAATAATTTTCCCAGTAGGAAACACACCAAAGATAATTGTGTACAGATACAGACCTCAAGATATGAAAAAATAACGTACATTTGTGTATACATATGATAACTAAAACATTGATGTTGTTTCACAATTTTATTTTCATTAAAATATAGACGATGCTATTATAAAAGCAAAGACCATTAATTCATAAATGACAAAATTGCTGAAAACATATTATACTGCCAGTATAATTATTATAAAATATATATAAACAAAATGTACTCATATAAAGTAATCTCCCTTCACTTTATATTGTACATTGTTTTCTCCCATCACTATATAAATTACATTTTTACCTCCCCACACTATATAGTGCACATATTTATCTCCCCGCACTATATAATGTATATATTTATTCTTCCCTCACTATAAAATGTACCTCTTTATCCCACCACACTTTATTATGTACATATTTATCTCCCCTCACTATATAATGTACACATTTATCTCCCCTCACTATATAATGTACAAATTTATCTCCGCTCACTTTATGATGTACATATTTAACTTCCCTCAAAATAGTATGTACATATTTATCTCCCCTCACTGTATTATATACATATTTATCTCTCTCACTATATTACATACATATATTTATCTCCCCTCACTATATAATATACATATTTATCTCCCATCACTATTTAATGTACATATTTACCTCCCCTCACTATATTATATACATATTTATCTCCCCTCACTATATTATGTACATATATTTATCTCCCCTCACTATATAATATACATATTTATCTCCCCTCACTATATTATATACATATTTATCTCCCCTCAATATTTTATATACATATATATCTCCCCCCACTATATGATATACATATGTATCTCCCCTCAATATACAATGCACATATTTATCTCCCCTCGATAAAAATGTACATATTATCGCCCTTCACTCTATTATGTACATATTTATCTCCCCTCACCATATAATGTACATATTTATCTCCGCTAACTTTATTATGTACATATTTACCTCCCCTCAATATATAATGCACATACTATCTCCCTTCACTATATTTTTTTCATATTTATATTCCCTCAATATAAAATGTACATATTTATCTTCTCTCACTTTATTATGTACATATTTATCTCCCCTCACTATATAATGTTCTCATATATCTCCCCTCATTATATAATGTACAAATTTATCTCCGCTCACTTGATAATGTACATAATTAAACTACATATTTATCTCCCCTCACTGTATTATATACATATTTATCTCCCCTTACTATATCATATACATATTTATCTCCCCTCGCTATATAATATACATATTTATCTTCAATCAATATATAATGTACATATTTATCTCCCCTCACTAATTATATATACATGTTAT